CCTAACTACCTCTACTACTTACCTACTACTTCTAACTAAGAACTCGTAAAGGAACGAGAAGAATACTTACTACTAGTTTCTTCTTAATACGTCTCTCTCTCTCTCTCTCTCTCTCTCTCTCTCTCTCTAAATCTATCTATCTATCTAGTTGTACCATTGTTGAGCCCTTTTGACTAATTTGGCATCATCTTAGTACTTAATACTATTGCCCCAATAAATATTACTTTGCTGCAACTTAATTCTTTTTGACTAATTTGGCATCATCTAGGAATGCTATTATTTTACATAGACATATTGGTGTGGAAACCATACTAATGAAAGAAATAATAATATTCTATATAATGAATACTTTTTTCTGATTTGTTTATAGAAGAATGAATTTTACTACACAAATTAGAACAATTGGTTTTCTGATATGTTCAACAAAATTCTTTAATAAAAAAATAAAAAGAAAAAGAAAATAAAACTATTATGCAGACATTGCTCCCGAGACTGTGATCCTAAGCTGATTTTATGACTCTGTTTACTGTTGGGATTATGATCCCTTGCCTTCCCGGATCGAGATCCCTTTCCAATTGGGATCTAGGTCCCTGAACATTGGGCGAGGTATCTTATATTGTCGAGATCCTCTCCAATTTGGATTGAGGTCCCTTGAAAATTGGGATCAAGATTCCTGATGCATTTGGGATCAAGCTCCTTTCCAGTATGGGAACCAGTATCATATGTTTGATAATGTACGAACGGCAATCCCGACCTACCAAAGCTTCTTGATTCTCATGATCCGTCGACCCCAATCTCGACCCAGGAAACATTCCTAGTCCTATTCCCATCAACTATGATGCTGACTGACATGAAATATTTGCTAAACCCACAGCCTTCTTCAACCCAAACATAGAGTGTTGAGGCTTTAACCTAGGACATTGCATAGACGGCAGAGGCTTTAACCTAGGATATTGCATAGACGGTGTCACCACTGCTGTCCATATAGAGCTCAGGAGCTATCTCTAGATCCTCCATGTCATCATCAACATCCATGTGAGATCAGGATCTATCTCAAGGTCATGAATATCAGCTGCAAGATATCTGCATACTCTCTCCTACAATTTGCATTGGTTGGTCTGGTTCCTCAAACTTGTTATTTTTGGCGTTCTCTTCCACCACAACTATATCCTCAATCATGCTTTGATCAGCAAGCTTGTTGCACAAGATTGGATATGCCGTGGCCGTCTTCCCTGAGTAAACTATGAGCCTCTAAGACTAGTGCGGTAAAGCATAGATCACCCCATATGGTTTACTTGGTTCTACCTGCTTCTTTAGTAGGTTTACTGGCATATTGGAATTCACAATTACTTGCACTTCTGGCAGCCCACCTAGTAGGACAATTAGGTCAAAGGGTAATGTTGTAGCCTACTCCAAGGAACATATCTTCTAGAAGAAAGAAACAACAATGAATCATTTGATATTGTTTCCATGCATTAAAGTGAATATGTGGAATTAGTTTTTATCAGGAAACGACTTAGCCATCCCATTTACTTTGAGATGCAATGACTATCTAGTGTTGTAAAGTTAACATTCAAAAGAAAAAGAAAGAAAGTAAAAAGCTAGCTATTGTTCTGATTTTGATTTTTGCAACCATCACCTATATTTAGATCTGGTGCAAGGTATTCCACATTGTAAGTGGATACTTTTCCAATAATGTACTATATAACTGCAAACTGCATACTGGATACTTTTCGAGCTTCCAGAATATGGTCGAAACCTGAAACAGCAAGAGCATAAATATTTCATAGCCAAATCAGGAGGACAATACATGCCAATAGAGATTTAGGATATATTACTTGCAGAAGGCAATCATGCATCAAAATTTACAGCAGCATTCTCCAGAACGGTATGACGAAAATAAATATCTGACATTCTTTAGACACAATTAAATATCCCTTCATATCCCTTTCCATGCTCCAGAGATTTCAGACTGAAGATGCTCTTATAGTCAGCTGTACTTTACAAATGGTTGTTAATAATGCTTAACCTATCGAATTCTTAAGTGCAACAACACCAGAGTGTTCCAGATTACAGGTGTTAGGCTGTACCTTATTTTTAGAGTTACGCTACTCTTTAATGTTTTTCAACTCGCCTCGGGCTTCGAACTCAGCGCTGGCCCAAGACAAGTAACTCGGCCAAGTCCACAAACTCGGCACTGGCCCAAGACAAGTAACTCGGCCAAGTAGAGTGCAGGACCCATAAGGCCCTAAAAAATAAAAGAAAATAAAAAAAATCGTCTAAAAGTAATATAAAAACTGTAGAAGTCAAACAAAACCAAAGGCAACATAAAAATCCCAGTAAAGCTAAAAAAATATAAAACATCGATTTAGAAAAAAATGGTTTATGGTTAGAGACATGTTAGATAAATCCAAAAAAAGAGGAATATATAAAAATTGGCCATGTGACAAGAAAAACTCACAAATCATTGAAAAAAGTCCAAATTATGTATATAATTTTTATACATTGATTCCACATTTTTATATAATTTTTTACAATTTCTTTTAATTTTTCTAAGTGCCCCAAGTTGCACTTGAGTACTCGGCTCAGCAAGGAGCTGAGTCTGAGCAACTTTGCTGAGTCCGAGTGGACTCGGCCGAGTTTTCAACCATTGCTTCTCTTCATAACAAGTTATCTCCATATTCTGTCAAAATATATTTTTATGGGATGTAATAGAATGCAAAGGCAATAATGATATAATGAGTTTTGTCTAATACAAGCACAGGTTTTCTAGAAAACTTTTTCTTTTCATATAATCAACATTTTGAAGGCTCTAGGTTCTAGACTCTGAACCCCCTCTTAGAAGCAAGTCCTCTGATATTGAGTATGAATTTAAGTTCACGTCACCTGAAGTTGGAAATTCATGAAAGCAATAAAAGCATTTGGAGGCCTCTAGTATTCGAATGAGCCTCTAGAGATAAATGGGTTAGGTTATATGCTCCTCTGCATCTCTACTTCTACTGATGATAGTATGCACTGGAAGTTAATCATTAGCCTACGCATGGTAAAAAAACATATCAGGCTTCTTGGGCATCTTGAACTTGACTCACAAGGGAAAGCAATCCCATATGATGTGCAGACGAGTATTGGAAGGAAATTGGAGAAATTGACAATAATGTAAGCTCATGTTTCATCACCCTCGTTAAACAACAAAGGTATGATGTTGTAGATAGGCTAGGTAACGGTAAGGTGTCATCATCAAGCAGGTGATTCCAGTGGATTATGCCCTAGAAATATCAAAAATGAATTGGAGATGGAACTCAAAAAGAGAAAATGGAGGATCTCAATGCTTTTTGCACAAAACAATGTTATTAGCCACACCTGCCAACTGTTTCATCTTTGAGAGTCTTCACATGAATCAACTAGTTCACAAAGACACAAACTATAATGCCAAGCATGCACATGACCTTTCAAGAAAAAGAATGCAACAACCACTAAGTTGCTTGCCATTTGAAATCAGAAAAACCAACTACCAGGTTTTGCAATAAACACACACAATGGCTTTACAACCAGATTTTGCTCCAGCATGTTATGATGCACAAGCAATCATACGATTCCCACATTGGTTCACAAATTGTTAGGTACCAATGAATCTTGCAAAACCCATATCTAGTAACAATTTCCCTCTGACTCAAAGAACACCATCAAGCAAGAGCCTGCAAATTAAGAGTCTCCAAGAATTGGAAAAACCAGACCATGCCCATAAATTGCACCTATACTAATGTATCGCTCAAAAAAGGTGGACTAGACCAACAAAGAAAAAAAGCTACTTCAGCAGTTGGGGATCCCAACGCAGCCATATCTGTAAGAAATCATGAAAAAAAATAAATTAATTAAATCGCTATAATCCAAAGAAGCATGACTATTTTGGAGGTTCAAAGTTCAAACCACTGCTTCGAAATGAAGCAAAACAAGCATATGAGCAAACAAATAGAACAAAACATGATTCATAGGAAGATGCACTCATTATCCTACTCTTAAAAGGTTCCATGGACATGCATTTGAAGCGTTCACATGCCAGAATACGGGTTTTGGAAAGTGCGGCCAAGGAATAATGAGGAACTCACCCACAATACATTGATGGTAAAAATATGAGAAAATTCTTTCAATCAATCATGGCAATAAAAGAATCGTGTAAAAACATACTTCCTCGATCCCGAATGGCCGAGAATCAGCAATGGCGGAAAGAAGATCAGAAACAAGTTTACTAAATCCCAAATCAAGAGCATCCAACAAAGGAAGAGAGAATAGCTTCTCGAAAAAAAAAAAAAATAGGACCGAGCACAATCAATTTATGAATCATGCCCAATTCAAGATAATCCATAAAACATCACAAGGGAAAAAGTTCATCACAAGGAAAATGTACCGCAAAAAATGGATTAGAATTCATAAAAAGAAACAAGAAGCATACCTCTCGATTATCAGTGACCTTGAGAACCAATTTTCCATCACAATGCCTGTATTTCATCACGTATCTCGACTTACCGAATTCAGAATTAAGGATCAAAATTCACAAATCACCGCCCAAGCCAAAAATAAAGTAAACCTAAAGAAAATTATCACGAATTTCAATAATTAAACTGAATAGAAATGGATACAGATAGAGGATCAGCCTTGAATAGCTGGATGGACCTTTCAACAAACTCGTCCCATGAACTTATGTAAACCATTGAGAAAAATATCCCAAAAAAACTAGCAAATATATTTAAGAGATCAAGCGATTATATTGGGATAGAATAAATTGGAAAGAAATTTGATAAGAAACTTTAACTCTGAACCGTGAGGAGAGAAACCGTCGACGTTCAGAGCTTCGAGTTAAAGTACTCTCCAGGGCTTTGAGGTGGTGCACACACACTCTCTCTGTCTCTCGGCTTTGGGTTTTGAGGATTCTCTCTCTCGTCTATACCGTTTTAGAACCGACGATCTCCAGTCCGGGTCTCTGATCTGGATGGGAACCAGTTAAGACGAAACCACTTCCAATAAGATGTTCGTCCCTCTCGTTAAGACATCCAGTCCGGATCTCTGAAGTGGATGGGAACCGGATAAAACCAAACCACTTAAAAGCCTTTTGTGTATTTTTTTTTTTAAAAAAAAAATTATTTAATATTTTTTAATTCCACTCTAAATCCTTACCCCAGCGTTTTAAAAAACGCCGAGTCGAACCGGACGAGTCCGGTTCGACTCGAAAATAGTGAAAAAGGAACCGGATCGCCCAAAAATCGGAAATCGTCTGGTTCTAGAGAGAACCGGACGATTCTGTACAGTGAATCGCCGATTCACTGTAT